TTTATCCTCTATGTCCAAAATGGCAACAGCTCTACCAAAAAGTATTGAAGAATTATCATTGTCCTCACACCAAGTCTGTTCCACAAATAAATTTGTGTGATTTAAGCAAAACAGGCCCCATTGCTGCAAATACGGATCTACCTTCACGCTAGAGCTAGCAGCTAGCCCAGTGCCCCATGGAGCAACTGGAAGGGAGGCCAGGCACCATCTTACGTTCAAGCATGATGCGCTCGAGCAATTAGCATTGCTCCCCTTTTCATGAGCACAACAGACGGGAAAGATAAACTCCAGCACCTCCGTCTTGCAGCCTGGCCTCTCTCCAGGAAAAACGCCTGTGGTTTTCTGCAGGATGAAGCCTGCATCTCTGGCTTCTCCTGGGTTTCAACACACTGGAGATCTTCACCCTCTCTGCCACCGTCCCAGGGAAGTCCCCAGCAATGCTCTAGGGCTTTGAACCATCTTGGTCTGTACCTGTCCTTGGACTCTGCGCCAGGATGAAGTAGGAGATGACTTCTTGGTCTCTCCCATCCCAACCTATAAATTTTAGAATCAGAAATGTCATTGTTTATTCAAGAAAGAGAATGAGGCATAATATAGCCTGGTATAAACATCAGATTAGGAAGTCAGGTGTGTCAGCTGAGAGCATATTTGGGGGAAAATAAGAAAAGTGGCATGAAAGTAACACTACTTCAAACAGGAGCCACCATTTCTGCTTCGTTTATGTTGTTCATTTAGATGGCAAGGACCCTGCTGTACAGATCGTCCTCATTTCCCCACCTTTGCCTGACAAGCACCGAGGCTGCGTCAGGACAATGCACGCACCACAGCACAGTCAGGGTTGATTCACCTACTGGTCCGGCTCTCACTCCTCCCCATGCTGGAGAAGAACCCAGCCAAGAATTAATCAAATTAATTTGGTTGCAATGGGAGGTTATTTAGAGAGGGCTAATGACTCACCTGGCTGGGCAATCTGGAGTTATAATAGCAGGTTCGAGGCTGTGTCTCATACTTTCACGCTGCCTTTTTTAATGAATAATTTGTGTCCACGTAGCGTCTTCAGGCCTTCCCATCGCTCACGTATGAGGTGCCGGTGCCCATGCAAGAGCCCTGCTCATCAGATAGATGGTGCTGCTTGCCCTTGTGCCAGCCAGGGATGGAGGACGGCTACTCTTCATGGGTGCATTAACTGCCCACTGCAGACCTGTGGCTGGTGTCTCCCCCTTCGAGGCCTCCCGGGCGCCTGGGTGGGAGCTCCAGGCACCATCAGGACTGAGCCACTGCATGGTGGTGATGGGTTGGCTGCTTGTCCTTTTGGGATGACACCTGTGTCAAGGACTGGCGCTAACTGCCACAACCCAATGGCCCTGTTCAGACTTCCACAGCTCAAGAACAGTGGTCAAACCACCTCAGGCCAACTGCCATATCCCAACTGTCACATTCAAACAGCCACATCCCATTGGCTCTGTTCAAACCACCCCATTCGAATGGCTGTGTCCCATCTGTCCAACTGCTACACCCCAATGGCCATGTTCAAACCAACCACTCCAAATGCCGCAACTGCCCTGTTCAGACCACCATGTTCAAACCATCACATCCAGATCACCATGGACCAACTGCCGCCATTCGTCACCATGTCCTAACCACAATTTCCCTGCTGGTGGCCCTGCCTGCCTCACTCCTGAGGTGCTCATCAACCAAGGGCTGGACACTTCATCCTGCTACACTTGGGATGAGCACAATCCCCCCACCTCATAGCCACCAGGTTGACATTGCATGTTCCCCTCCTATGCTACGCTCCTCAAAGCCATGGCTCTCCCACCCCACAGAGAGAGGGGGAGTCTACTGTGGAGGAGCAAGATGGCACCATCTAAGAGGAGAGAGAAGGGCCATCTTCCTCTTCCTCACCTCAGATCATAGAATCATGGAATGGTTTGGGTTGGAGGGCACCCCTAGAGGTCACCCAGCCCAACCCCCCTGCAGGGAGCAGGGACACCTTTAACCAAATCAGGTTGCTCACAGCCCCGTCCAACCTGGCCTTGGATGTTCCCAGGGATGGGGCCTCCACCCCCTCTCTGGGCAACCCCTGTGTCCTGGTTTCGGCTGGGATAGAGTTAATTTTCTTCATAGTAGCTAGCATAGTGCTGTGTTTTGGATTTAGTACTACAAGAATGTTGATAACACTCTGATGTTTTTAATTGTTGCCAAGTAGTGCTGAGACTACTCAAGGGCTTTTTGAGCTTCTCCTGCTCGACCAGGTGCATAACAAGCTGGGAGGGAGCACAGTCAGGGCAGCTAACCCAAACTGACCAAAGAACTATTCCATACCATAGAACATCATGCTCGGGGGGAGTTACCCAGTCGGTCCGGAGGAGAGTCATCGCTGCTCAGATCGCGGCTCGGAGAGTCATCGCTGCTCGGGATGGGCTGGGCATCGGTCAGCGGGTGGTGAGCAATTGCATTGTGCATCACTTGTTTTTATATATATTCTGTATATTCTCTTACCATTATTATTATCACTATTGTTATTCTTCTTTCTTATTAAACTGTCTCGATCTCAACCCACGGGTCTTACTTTTTTTTCTTTTCTCCGATTCTCTCCCCCATCCCACAGAGGGAGGGGGGGAGTGAGTGAGCGGCTGCGTGGTGCAGCCGGGTTAAACCACGACACCCTGCCAGGGTTTCACCACCCTCACTGTAAAGAATTTCTTCCTTAAATCCAGCCTAAACCTCCCCTGCTTCAGTTTAAAACCATCACCCCTTGATGGGCAGTTCATGGCGCTCAGTGATTTGCATCATAGGATAGAGCACCATGGGCATTGCTGTTTCTTATGGCAAATGACAAAGGGTGTTGTCCCTCCCCTGGGGACAATTAAGTGATAAGACGACACAAAGATATCTTTTCATCTCTCTGCAGTTTATTGGTAATGAAAGAACTTGGAGGGAAGGGGTGCTGGTAGGAAGCAACCATGCAGTGGGGTTCACGCAACAGAAGGTTTGCAATAAGGCCATACATATGCCAGGTGTGAAGGAGAAGAGGGAAAGGAACCTATAAAACATTAAAGCTGCCAAATCACTCCACCTAGGGAAGGTGGACATCTCCAGACACCTGCTTCTCACTCCTAAATCTGGCTATGAGACATTATCACGTCTCTTCTGCTTACGTGAGTTCCTGATATAGCTGAAACAAGCATGTGGGTAACATGCAGGACATGCGGAAGCCACAAGGGAAACAAGGCCATTGAAAAAGAGACCTTAAAAAGTGAAAGGAAAGAGCAGTTTTATACACGATCCCCCTCAGCCAGCGCAGCAGCCGGAGGCAGCAGCAAGAAACACAGCGAAGGGTGCTCAGATGAGCCCTGCAGTCCCTGGTACCCGCAAGGGAGATCTTTCATCCCTGGAGACTGGGGGAGCTCAGAGGGGGGCCAGGCTTAGCCCACGGGATGGAGTTTCACTGCAAATCTCCCCCTGGGCAGGATGATTTAAGGAGGTTGTGAGCTCAGCTCATTTCTTTGCTGGATACCGGTTCAGGATGGAAAGGGCTGTGCTGCTGGCTGGAGAAAGGAGAAGACGCTTCTTTCCTTGGAGCGATGGAGGTCAGGGCTCAGTATTTTACACCTGAAGATTTGACCGTTGTGGTTGTGACACATCTCCGCACAGAGGAGGATCCACCCCCTGCGGCGAAGTTGCCACCTCCAGAGCTGCACATCCTTCCACTTCCAGAAGAGAAGCCACCACTGAGTATTCCTCCTCCCACGCCACAATTGCCTCCAATGATGCTCCCTCCTCCGACCGCACACACTCCTCCTCCCATGCCACTGCCAGCTCCAAAGCCACCAGCTCTGCCTCCAGCGATGGTGGTCCTGCCTACCACAGCTGCAAGAGAAGGAGGAGCTCACTGTACATCAAGTGACAGCCTGGGAGTCCTCACGAGACCCAGGGTAAAAGCCATTCTGCGGAGGAGACGAGGTACAGATACTTACAGACATTGACGTTGGATGGATTATCTCCACAGAGC